CATTTCATTGTTCAATAATAGTAACATATTTACGCTAGAACTCCACTTGGAGACTCTTTCATGGATAAAGTTAATTTATAGAAAACGATAATTAACGTGTATATGCATATAAGATGTAAGATATCAATGGTCACTAGAATACTAAGTCATTTATAACTATATAAAGAAATTACCAGCTTTTAATTACCATTTATTTTTCGTTCTTGCATCTTCCTTACGGAGTCAAAGAAAAAGGGGTATGAGTGAATCTTCTCTTTCTGGTCTCATCCACATCAAAACCAGTTTGTTCAGTGTGGAAACTCTCAGTTACAGCTAATAGTTTGATGTAAAAAACCTTATAAGCATTTGTCTCATTGCCGTTTTGATGTGGATAAACATATATGACAAATTAATCTAAGAAGATAATGAATTTATAAACTGTTCATTGATTGAAATATATAATATTGTAGAATGCATTGATCTAGTTCAATGTTATTTTCCTATCGTATTAATCTTCAATGGCTAGTTTCATCTCACACTTCATTAAGAAGAATTTTTTTCATAACAGCTGTATGTATTTTTATTTGAAAAAGTTTGATACAAAATTTATCGTTTCAGTGGAATAATATTCATCATATTGGGTGATTATGATTTTAATTTTGCAACATTCTTTATATTCCTAAATGTATTCATATTGACAATCTTATATTTGAAAAGTTTCCTGTTTTGATATTTGTTATCTAATATTCTACTCGGTTGGATATATTTTTTGACAATTTCTGCAGGTTTAATTGAAATTGTCTTAGTGTTCTTTTTGAAATTCAATAAAAGATGCTAGATAAATGAATATTATTCCATTGAAATGATAAGTATCATGAAAAAGAGTTTTTCTCAAAAATATAAGATGAAAGTATTCACTTGAAATTGATAAAATATCAACAAGCAATGGAATATATTGATGTATTTCAAATTGCTTTCCTATTAGATAAAGCTTTCTCTCTCTTTTTCTCTATTAAATCATATATTTCGATCAATTACTATTAATTTACTGATAGAAATCGAAACTTTTCAATCACCTTTTATTATGTTCAATAACTATATGAATGCGATAGACAAAAAAGAAATCTTTTGTAGAACTTTAAAAGATCTATGAAAAACAAATAGAAGAGGCAGATCAAACAATTTGACTTAGTCATCTATAGATAATCATATCAAAATGAAGGATTGGTAACTTTTCCTAACTTTTGTCTTGTTTTTTTTTTTAATCAAAAATTCTAAAGTATTGTTACCTACATTCATCGTAGAAGTACAGCACATGTAAAACAATAAATAAAATATCTAATGTTTATGGTGTGTTAGAATGAATTATTGTGGTACTAATGGCCATAGCTATACTTATAATCATAGAGAAGACACAAACAAGTTTGGTACTTGAATATAGAATTGACCAAAGGCAATAGTTCTTTGAAAAGAGTAACAACAATCATATTTGATATCAAAAGAAAAAGGAATACGTAGTCTGTGAAACCATGAATCTTCTTACAAAGACAACAGTTGACTAAATTAACTTTATCATTCACGGAACTCATCTTGATGTACGAGGAAACTTATAAAAATCATGACTTTTCAGTAGAATTTAAACAGTTTGTTCAAGTTTTTTATCGATAAATTTACTAGCAATCAAAAAATTTGTGTCTAAATACTACATTATATTGAAATAATTATTAAGGCTAATGATTGAAATGTTTCTTTGACTATAGCGAATATTTCTTAAACAACTAATGACATAACTATTAATTATTTCTACCAGCGTTCTACAAGATTTCAGTATCATCATTTTACGGATCGTTACCTTACAAAGTTCTCTTTTCATTTTGAATAACTTTTGAAAAATTTATATTTCAAATATCCAAACGTGAATATTTTTTTTTTGACGAGAAATACAAGATTTTTCTAAGGCTAATTAAAGAACAGAGTGAATATTTGTGATACAAACCAGTTTCAATTTTATCTAAATTTTCACTTATTCAAAAGAAATATATTTATTTAAGATTCGGAGACTTAACTGATAATATCAGACAATTAACTGTAACTGTGGAAAAATATTTTCTTAGTCTAGACGAGTTGGCAACGACTTCCTTGTTGAAACAAAAACACAAACTGAATTGATAATTGTCCCAAAATCGAAAAACAAAGAAATATTTCTCCAAGAGAAAAAGTGAAGAATACAACGATAAGTTATGTTACTTACTGTGAATTAAAGTTCCACTATAAACTCAATCATTTGACTTGCTTAAATGCAACTCTGATTGAATTTAGAATGGATAGGATCGGTTGCGACAGAAGATAAAAGTTCGAAAACAATATTTGTTTTACACTTTTTCTATCTTAACCATAATCTATAGACAATAGGGTATGTGAATCGGTAGATGAACTAGAAATCCACACCTTATTGTATATACATCTGTTCAAATGAAATTATACGCGAAAAGATTTCTTTATTTTGTTTCGTCACATCTATGCAAAGTTTACTGTGTCAACAATAAAAAAAAATATTCGAATCAAAGTTAGATAAGTTAGAACATAAAATATCCATTGGGATAACGGATTTCGACACAAACAGATATTAATAAATAAATATAGACAAACAGGTGAGAAAAAAATGATTAGCTAAGATATAATCATTTTTGTAAAGTTATGATGTTATATACGATTATCAAAAGATGTCCAATCAATTTACATTTATAAAAATTTACCAAGTTCACGAAGAAATTTAAAATTAAATCTAAATATGTTTGAAGTATTCTATGTTGTAAAATCTTACCGTCGCTTGTTTAACCTGGGTTTGTGTAGAAGTCTTTTAATATCTTCAGAATGTAACAGAAACACGATGCAACCATTTTCTTACAGAATATTCTATAGTGATGATCGGATTTTCGTTATTTATGATCTATTTTTTCTGAAGTCATGTATTTTGTTGATTGTATTGTTGAGTTTTAACTTACCAAAGTTTATGATTTTCATAAACAAATTCTTATTAATTAAAAATCTCAAATAACTTTGCAGAACAATACTATGCTTGTCAGGCACCGAACTGAACTCGAACCTGTGGAAGTTTGTTTGATTCCCTTTCTGATAATTATCGTTAAACACTGTAAAGCGATAATCGGATTGTCATCTTACAAGAAAACACTAATGTTCATATTTTCTAATATATGAAGATGAAATGAATGATACATAAACAGTTTTTTTGTACATAAAAATCATAATAATAATGTTGACTAAAAATAAGGATGAATTACTTTTTACGTAAAAATATTCAATTGTTTTTCTTTATTATGAAATTTTTTGTTGTTTTGATAAAAAAATAATAAAAAATACGAATAATAAATCAAGAAAAAAGAATTGCTATTTGAATAAAAAGAAACGATTGTAGTGCGAAACTTTTTGAATTTATCATTTTCATTGGATTTTCAGAAAACAGTGCAGTAGAATGATATATGGTCGGTACTTTTACTAATAATGTACTAAACTAAAACGATATAAGGATTACTGGTTATAAATGCAAGTATTAGTCCAGATTTGTGCAGCTTTCTCTTAGACACCACCGACATGGTTTAAAGGTCAGAGACCAATGAGCATAGTTTTCTTAGTAAAAAGAGGAAGAATGACATCATCAACTAGATTTAGACTATTCGAAAACATTTTAAAACCTTTCTTGAAACTTCAATGGATAAACTATGTTTGTGAATACTTTAACCGACTTATTGTACTAGTTAAATCAATGATTGAAATCATAATAAAATACAGGATATGAAAATACAAAGCAACAAGCCAAACAAAAATTAGAGCACAATTACACAAAGTAAATGTGAATGATAGTTTTCGTGAAAATTGATTATCTTTTGCAAACAATAATAACGTTCACTAGAGATATTTTACTTAACTTATTTTTTATTAGTATATGCAACTAAAATTTAATGATAATCTAGATATGATTGTTATTTGAGGGTTTGGGTATGAATGAGAGAGAGAGTATATGATCCATTAACACATCCAAACAATATCTATATCAAGACTCAAGACGATGATAAGATTGTATTTTGAATGTGTGCAAGTAAATGAGCATATAATTTTTGCTGGATTCGATTCATTTATGAATGCTTGTTCAAATTGACGTCATTGTTCGATATTCGTTAAATATAATAAGTAAAATAGATTTCATTTTGATGCAATTAATATTTGGAGATTTTCTTTTATAATACCTGCAGATAATATTCTCGACCAACAATATGAGCACTGAAACATAATAACATCAGTGAAAGCCTAAAGAAGTATAAGATATACTGTATTATCTATGAGAATTCATTTTAATATTTCATGGTGAAATTTATTGATTTTGTTTTAATCGTTATTTCTTCGCAATTATAACAAAGAGTTTTTTTTTCATTAATATTCTACTATTTATTTTTTCCAAATAAATTTTAGTCTTACGTGTAAATTTTGATAATTTGAAAAAAAGAACTAAAAAGAATATTTAACCATAGATTAAAAAAGAAACTCATTCAACAACCCAAATACAACTTCACTCGATTTTACTCATAAGAAAAAATCCAGAAAAACTCGTACAATATTAATTCACTATTAAATTTCAATACAATTTTTTTTTCTTTAAAGATTAAGAATAAATGATTTAAGTAAATACTTACAATGCATCAGCAATTCTATATGATGAACATACACTTACCCTAAAACAAGTTAACCTTCATATAGTCATACATATTGATTTTCCTTGTGCAATACTTGTCATTGATAATAAAGTCTAATTATTAACTTTAGCTGAATAACGTACATTAATTAAAGTACAAAAAAACAGCAAAAACTGTATATGCAAGTATTTGAGGATATAATTGTTGTGTTGATGCAGCAAATTCTAAAACTATTTTATTCATTAAACGATCCGATAAACCAAGATGTGCAAGTAATCATGGTAATATTGATGATTGTTAAGTACGTGCATATTATTCTGCAACAAGTTCAACAAGAATATTATCTGATGATGATATTATTGATGAACTATTAATCATTCTTTGTTCTTCATTAACATTTTTATTATTTAATGAATTTGTATTTTCATTTGGTCGTTGTAATAATGTATAAATACGTGCACGTATTTCATACAAACTCCATATATCATTTTAAACATATTGACCAATTATTAAAAGTCTTTCAAGACTAATTGATATAATTTTTTGTGTTAAATTATCATTTTATATATTATTATTTAATTCTTCTATTATATAATTTATTTAAGTAAACCTGATGACTTTCAATTAAAAATAAACATGATGCATATGCATGAATATTAGTTAATTTATAATTGTATTCAATTAAACGTATATATAATTGATTATATTGTCATTTTATTGTTTGTTGAAGTAATATACTAGATTTACATAAATTATAACTTATTAATAATATTATTAATCCATCAAATAAATCATATAAATATAATTGATGAAAATAAATCCGCAAGATATATAAATAAATCTATTAATTCATATCTTAATTGAATACAAAAATTATTTAAATTCTGTTGTTAACTAATGAACATATAGTTCAATTAGAAAATGTAATGAATATGTTAAATCAAGACCATGAGAAGAAAATAAACTCTAAATTATATATTTTTAAAGGTGAATGCCAGCGAAGGAAATGTTTATACTCTAGTTTTCTGATTGATAGAAAATATTTCTTATATTTTAGACTTTATTAATAGAATACAAGTAATCAGCATATATGTGAAATCATTGATAAATACTAGATTTTTTGTTTGATGAAATTAATACTTTAACAATAAATTTGCTTTTCTCTTAACTTAAACTTCTGTATAACAAAGTTTAAAATTCTTTCGATAACTTTTTTTTTTCTACATTTATGTTGAATATTTAATATTAATAGAAAAACAAGTTCTACTTGTCAATTCTTAAAACATATATGAACTTACATTAACTGTTAATGGTAATTTTGTATTATTTTGAATTGATATTAATATAGTATCATATGAAAGTTGTGCATAGGATAATAAATCACGTGTACCTAATCGTTCAATATTTTGAAAAAAATTATTTAAACTTTTATCTAATATTGAACGCGTTTGCATATATTGATCACTGATTAAAAAAAAAAAGAACAGATAAAATCTAATTTATTTTAGAATTTTTTATTAAATTATTTGTTGTTTGTTCATTTTCATCATTAGATTGATTTGTGGTGGATTAATTAAACACTAAAATTGAAACTTTTATTTCTTGACATTGTATTTTTGATAATCAACCAACTCCAAAATTGTCTTAATATAAATATAACTATACAACGTAAATCATGTCAATAAATAGATGATGATCAAGATCATTAAATAATAAAAGTAATAATTGATTTATTTATTTGATAGAGTTAAATTATGTTGTTGATAAAGATATTCAAATATTAATAATAGTATTATGAATAATGTACAACATATGATATTATTTCATCTTTTTCACAACTAAGAAATGATTTTGTTTTTAAAATATATTTATATAAATTATTTCTGATATAAATATTATAAAACATAATAAATCATATATGTCATCTGTTGAAATTAACTATACAAAATCCTAGGAAAACAAAAAAACAAAAGATTTATATTGTTTCTTATTTTCTCAAATCAATTTTCATTTATTATAAGAATCATCTTAAAAATTTTATTCTATCGAAAAAATTCAATACGTTTTTGGAGTTCAGGTATTCAAACCAATAGAAAGTTTGTTGAAATTTTCTCGAATACAATTCTATCGTCCGAGAAAGACTTCGTAATGTTTTATAAAAGTCATTTGCTTTTTTTAAATAGACCTCCTTCGATCAAACAACTCGAAATGAATATAAGATTAACATCACTATAGCATCCATAGTCATCGATTCATGATATTTGTTTTGAAGAATATTTCATAAACTTGAAATTTATGATTTCTAAAAATTATTTTCGGTTGAAAATAAATAACACAAGCGAAAACATCTTACGACATATCTTTTAAAACTACTTCATTCTTTTCTTCAAGAATCATTTCATAACATTAGAAATTATAAATAAGTACAGTAGATCAATTAGTTTTATTCTTCAGAATATTTTTCGAAATTTTGAATTATTCAAAAATCTCATCTATTACTAACATATAAACAGTGTCAAAGTAAATCAAATATTTTTCTTTAAATTGGAATGAAATTTTTATTATATATATTTATTTATTTATTTCGATAAATTATACTAAAACATACCGATAGCATCATAAATGGTAATAATTTTTTATGAGTTACATTTTTAAGCATTTGTGCATCAATTTTTTGTGTTATATCCATAGGACAATTAAGCTTATTAAAATCTTCTTTAATAATATCGATTGATTTTGATATTGATAATATTTATAAAATTAATGGTAAATATTGAGATAATAATTGTTTATTTAATGTTTTGTTGATGAAGTATTAACATGATTTCAATACGATCATAAACAATTAATTCATCTAAATGTAATACAGATATATATATATGATAATGGAATAAGTTGTTCAATTAATAAAACTAAAACAAGATCATTTTCATCTAAATGTATTTCTTCATAAACGAATAAATAATTTGGAACTTATGTATGATGTATAAAACCAAATAAATTATGTACAAATATCATGTTGTTCAAAAAAAAAAGAATAATTAATAATGTGTTATTATTGATGTTCGATATTTAACATATAATTCATGATAATATATTAAACCACAATAAGATTGTAATTGATCACTTATAGATAAATGTGTTCTTAATGATGATAGTGTTAATATTGGTGATCATCATGTTTCTTCTGTATAATCAAGCATATTAAGAATATGTATTCATTGTAATAATAATTTAAAATATTCACTTAAAATAATTAAGTGCGAAAATGTATCAAGACGATGTATCGTTTCATCATGAATTCATAATTGACGAAAATCATTTACCATTGTTCGAAATTGTTTAGCTAAAATAAAATAATAGATCTTATATAAGCATAGAAATTTTAAACTCAAATGTTTTTCGCTAGTTCATTAGGAATTAATGAATTGAAGGAAAGTTTTATGTTCAAATTAATGGATCATATGCTACTATCATATAGATTATCATCAAAGGTTAAGGTCTTTTGACTTTGATAGAAATCAGTCTTTATCAGTTCAGTTAGTTTCTTATTCCTAAAGTTTCAAACCTAAATTTTTAAATTAATAATAATTGCTAGACTATCGTATTCATGTCTATAAATACACGATTATTTTGATTGATTGTCATTTTCCATAATATGTATAAATACATGAAGATAATCGAATACAAGAAAAACTAATCTCATATCGATTTGATCAGGTAATTGTTGAGTATTAGTTAAAATTCGAAGAAGAGTTCTAAAAAGAAAAACGAGAATAGCAGTTATTAAATTACAAATAAAATCCTTTCAAATAGTTACAGGCTAAACATTTCACCTCGTGTTCCATTCACTAATGATAAAATGACATTCCATCGTGTTAATATAACATCTTCAGTTAAATTTTGTACAAGACATCGAAATATTATATTTCTATTGATTAAACATCGATTTCTAGATTGACAGTTGACATGCTAAGAAAAACTTTTTAAACTACAGGAAAATTTCATAAGTAAAAACAACGAGCATTTCTGTTTACTAATGTTCAAAAAGCAACAACAAATGGATCAACTAACTGTAACGCAACTGATGATGTAACATCAAATAGTGTTAGTTGTATGGAATAAATATCCAAAAGCGATTGAGCCTATTTGAAAAGAAAAATAACCATAGGGTGGGGTGTGGGGGTGTGGGTGTGAGTGTGTGGGTGTGGGTGCGGGTGTGGATATGGGTGTGGGTGGGTGTGGGTGTGGGGTGTGGGGTGTGGGGCGTGGGTGTGGCTATGGATATAGGTGTGGCTGTAAATATACTCTTAAGCCACACCCACACCCACACATCCACATCCACACACCCACACCCACACCCTCGTTATAATAATAAAAAGTAGAGAGAGAATAAACACACGCAAACCATCGACCCAAAACATACGAATTAGATCGCGTTTCTTCGAATTGAACAATGGGGTGTGGATGTGGGTTTGTGGGTGTAATCTATTCACACAAGACTCACACCCACATCCTCCCACACCCACACCCTCCCATACCCACACCCTAAAAATCCGGCTATAATTTTGAATTTCTGGCACCTTACTAAAATAAACTATATTGACAGAACTTTTTTATTTCGATATTATATAAAGTTCATGCGAGCGAAGGTGAGGAATATTATCGAGCAGACCAACTTCTCCACCAATGTTAGATGCTGTTTCTCTTGAATGTATTCTCTCACCAATTCATGATCCCTTTTTCTAGGTTTAGAATTAAATTGGAATTCAATGTTCACATCTAATGAAAATTTGCTAGACATAAAAGTGAAAAATACACAGAAAGATATATTGAAAATGGTTTTACAAAATCGAGATCGATCATCAAATGTTCATCACACATCTTCCTTATGTCGTCTGGCGGATTTCAATGCCACAAATTGTCGAGCTAATTCATCATTCGTTCGATGTGATAAGATTCTTAGAATAGTTAAACCAGCATCATCAAAATTGATTCGAGCACCCAATGGAATCCAAGATGACCATGAATCTTGTTCACATACTTGTTTTAATTTAATAACATTCAAACCAATTAAACGATCTTCACGCATAAATGAATAATCTTTTACAGCAACATTTAATTCATAACAATCAGGTTCTTCTTCATTGCCCAATAGACTAAACAAAATAGAAAAACAAAACCGATTCTTCCATGAACAACAAATCAAACTGATGACTAACAAATGAAATGTTTCATTATATTTCGGTATCCATGTATTACTCTTCATTTTGGTAGTATATTTATGTTTTTTATCACTAAGATGAGGACCACACATGGCTAATTCAACATAGGGACAAAACATTCTGGTGGTTCGCCATTTCAAACCATTTGCAGCTACAACTAAATTCAAAAGAAAAACATATGAACAATGCATTGAAACTATTTTCTTTGTACCTTTGACAGTTACTTTATGTTCTCCACTACCCGCATCTGTAAATAGATCGACTTCAATTGAAACTTCACCAAACGATTCTTCTAATGCTGGTCGATCTGGAAGAAAAACGATTTGATTAAGTTAGATGAACGAAAAATGTTTACCTTGTTCTTTTTCTGTTTTAACAAATGTTTTAATTAATGAATCCGTTGTTTGTGTGTACAAGGAAAGGGCATATTTTAATGATTGTAATTCTGTCGTTTTTTCTAAATAATCTTTCTTTAAACCTTGACCTGATGCTTGAAAAAATTCTTTTAAATCTTCCAAACCATGATCTAAGATTTGACATTGGTTTTGCGTTAAATTTCGATCATTATCTCGATCTAATTCCTATTTCAATTTGAAAACATATTCAGAATAAGAAGAAATCGATTAATAAAAGACAAACCCCTGATAAAAGTCGATAAGCATCTTCAATTTTGGCTGATGGAATTGTTAATCGATGGTTGGAATCAGAAATAGGTGGTAAAACAATCACTTTTTCTAAATCACTAATCACGACTTTCCACAATTCTTTTAACAACCGTTTTCGAATGGTCTTTTCACATTGATTGTCAAAAAATGTCCATCTAAACAGAAGGTCATTGTTTCAGTGATATCAGAATTCGATATTGCTGTTCGATGAATACATTACATTTGATAGAGATAATCCAATAATGATTTCATAACCAGACTGGCTTCAACTCCTTTCTGTTGTCCACTATTATTTCCTGGATTCATTTGATTTTCTTTAATTTCTTGTAATTGTTTATTGACTTCTTCAATTGTTTGTCGAATTGTTGGTTCAATACTTTTGACAAACATGGCACTTAATTCATCGAGAACATCACTTAATTGTTTTTGTAATTCATTCAATCTCGATTTGGTTTCATTATCTAATTGTGCTCCACCCATTACTTCATATAATTGATCGAGATGAAAACGTGATCGTTGAATATTATTCATTAAAATCGAACAAATATTATCTTGACCTGCAACCTGTTCAAATGTTCGACATATTCCATTGGCATAACCAAGTAAGACTTGAGATATAATAACAGAAAAATGTTGCATATATTTCTCAATGACCAATGAATCATGAATCTCAAGTGTTTTAATAATTCGATAATATTCATTCAATGTAGTAAAAACATCAACAACAGACGAAGAAAATAAACAATGCTCAGATGTTTGTTGAAACTAGAAAAATTCAACAAAGAAAATCTTTTCTCTTGAAAATATGATTCATTTCTGATTGACTGACTCCTGTTTGACGATCTTTTTCAAGTGCATTGTGAAGATATTCCATGGACATATCACCATTTTCATTTAGCCATCGAATGACAAATGGTTCAAACCATCTGAATAAAAAACAATCGTTTTGATTTTATTCTTTATATTTATTCGTCTTTCAACATGCTCAGGCTTAGTAACAACGTACTCAATTGTTTACCATTTCAATTCTTTTGGTATATAAAAACTGTACCGATAGATCGAAGAAAAGTCATCAAAAGAAAGAAATCAACTTACTTAGGATATTCTGGAACAGTATTTTTTGCTTCAGGAATGATTTTCACCGATGTATCATAGAATTCTTTAACCGTAAAATGAAGCGTCATATAATCATCACTTTTCATAGCAGAACGTTCAGCAGGAATTCGATCATGTTCTGAAAATAAAAAGCTTTCAGCGCAATTCCTTCGGGATAAAATGTGAAACACGATGTAGCTGCTTTATAATTGTACATGAAGACCCCGTGAATATTGATAACGATCTCTGACAAGATCCAAGGAATAGCATGTCCAAATATCTGTCACGGTCTGTGACGTTTTCTCGCTATATACTTCAACACTCATTACAGTCGTGTTTCACAATATATTCAACGATTTTATTAATGAAAGTCTCGAGAATCAGAAAAAAAGCCCCTCAACTAGATATGTAGCAAAACCCGAACCCAGTCGGATGTTTGGGTTCGGTCTCGGTCTCAGGGTTGGGTTCGGGTTCGAGCTCGAAAACTATCCAAGGACTTCAGATAGCGTCGAGTATTTCCGAATGTCATTAACTCTTCCTTAGGATGCCTGCAATCCTTCAATTTTTGGATCATTTATTTGGTTGTCTGTAGACTTACCATATCAACCATGAAATCCTTTCTTTTGGTATACTTCTATTCTGTTTTATTGATTAACTGAAAATGACTGCACTCAAGACCTAACCAGAATGTTCGGGTTCGGTGCATGCCTACCCTCGACCAATTAAATTTACCTTGAAGCTCATCTTTCAGATCAGCTGATAAAAGGTTCCATAAAGTATCAGCACTGATATGACCAACATTTAATTCTGATGAGAATCTAAATATAAAATCGAATAAAAAGAAACGATCTTCCAAAAAACAAAACTCACTGATTCAAGACTAAACTATATCGTTCTCGATCTTCCGAAATGATACATGTTAATAAATATATTAATTTATGCCAAAACTGTAAACTTTTCAGACTTGATCCAACGCCATGAGTTGTTGTTTTGTCTATTGATGATATTTGCGTTCCATCATCATTCAGTTCATGATGATTTTCTGTTGGATTTGTTTGTTGTTTCGATTCACGTTTATAAACTTCATCACAATTAGCAAAGAGAAAATTATATGTATAACTTATACAATTTTTCACACAATCTTTAACCACTGTCGATGCACGTGGAGGAGAACTTAATCCTTGAATCTAGAATATGATTAATACATTTAGAAAGAAATCAACTGAAAAATCTCAATCTAGGGGAAAAGATCAGATCATGCTGAAGCTTACTGCATTCGCCAATAATATTCGAAAAGGAAGAATTTGACGTATGTCATTTCGATTTTTTTCTCTTCCAAAACAAATTGAAATAATATCAAAATGAATTTTACCTTCATATGAAAGAATGTAATCGATGTAAGAAGATCAACTGTAGAGTTGAGATCTTGCATTCGATCGATACTTGATGATGGAAAATTATTCTAAAAATTCTCTATACGCACAAGAAAACAAAAGGAACACTATTGAATTCATACTCGAAACATCGATAAATCAATACGAATTGAATTGTGTAATTGATCAAGTAATTTGATAAATTTATCTTTCTACCAGAGAAAAAAAAGATCAGACAAGTTGATCGAATCTATGTCACATGAAGAAAACTCATAAATCGATGAAAGTCTTAATGTCAAAACTTACTCCAAAATTGGAAGCACCAAATTGATTGGCAGCTGTTGTTGCAATTGTACGTGCATAATGAGCGTTGATATTTGCTAAAAGTGTACTCATTACAGCAGGTACACCAGAACACATATATTTCGTTGATAGGCAGGCAAAATGACTATTCAAACAGATTTGTTTTTGCTTTCAAGAGAAAAAGAAATGTTGAGTTTTTTACGTCATTGCTTGGTAAATCGATTCAATTCCATAACGTATTGCAAATTCATTGACAATTTCTTGTGAAGGTTCATCAAAATACACTTTCCAAGCGTCATCCTTGATAAATGACATCAACAATCAAAACATTTTCAAAATTAATCAATTTACTCCTTTAGCATCAGGAATAACCGGTTGGCCATTATTATTTTCACACAGTGTATAAAATAGATTCTCGTGTAAGCAAGAATATTGTGCACGATATGGAGCGACTTTTTCTTCTCCTTTAATTTCTACGGATATATGAAGACGTATAGCACCAGAAACAGTTGATTTATCCGTTCGTTTTTCTAAATTATACCAAACATCCGTTTCACCTGATAATGTTCGAAGTTCAATAATCGTTTGTCCAAGAAAATCATCGGATTCATGAGTTAATTTTTGCATTAGTTTCGCTTGAATATCATCATCTTCATCCCTAAAAAACAAACAAAAAAAGTATTGTCCAAAAGAAAATTCTTTCGATCAAGAGCAAATTTTCTCTACCAAACCCGAACTTTTATTCGATCATATGAATTATAACAGTCACTAGACAAAAGCAAAGTCAATGATTAGTTCTCCAAATAATGAAACGTACAAAAAGAATTTTTCATTCCAAGTTGGATTTAATTCTGAATAAACTGTTTTTGTTCGTTTTTTCACATTACTGACTTGAACAGTGACATACGGATCCGATGTTCCAGTTTTATCTTTCGCTATTAAACCTTGAGCACTTATCACTAAAAAAAGCAAAAATAAAAAGATTTTCTAGGCGACAAAGGAATACTTCTATTACCAGTAATTATCAATTTGGCTGACCATTTCGATGTTCCATCAAGGACATTCTGTTTAACAGTTTTCATATGATCAACATGAGATTTTTCATCCACATTGAAAACATCTCTGAGAACAATCATCGATGGTTTTATCATATTACTCAATGATATACAGAGTGGTCCAAAAGTCAGTTAACCGAAGAAAAATTGAATATCTCCTCTATAGTTTGACCAAGCGGGCTGATTTTTTTACCAACGATAAAGGAGTGTTCATAGTTGGTATTCATAATGAAAAGGTTGACAAGAACGGGTGTGAACTGTCACTATTACCTTCTATGAGAAACTATAATCATTCACGAGTTATAAAAAACCTTTTGGCCAAAACCAACCACGCATCTAATTTTTTCGATTTATTACCTGCAATATTACCATTTGGTCTAATATTTACACAACAGATAAATGTCTTATTACTCATTATACTCTAAAATTATCAGCCCTAAACAACAAGAATTGGTTTGAGAAAGCTGCAAATGCATCTCAGTTACTCGTACATGACTGAGACGAAATTCTTTTTAATGCTTGTCCATCTTGAGGGTGTGGGTCTATTCTTCCCCTACACCCCCCTCCACCAAAAGAATCGGCCTGTTTGGTTAACGTATGATGGAGATATTCTATTTTTCCTTCGGTTAACTGACTTTTGGTCCACCCTGTATTTACCTAATAGTTTGAAACATATGTGGTCTTGTACTTTCCCTGAGTGTCATTTTCTCATGTATAGCTTCTATTAGACTTCTTGGTGTATCATTGGCATCATGCTTAGCTTTTTTCTGTGCTCGACCTATTAATAACAATAAAGAAAAGAGATGTACGAATTAATCATGAGAAGAAAATTTTAATCGGTTAACGAACAACGATGTTTTTTTAAAAGCTTGATGAATAACATAGCAATCGAATTAAAGCAGAAACAAAAATGAGAACTAATGCAAACTATTTTAATTATCTCCATACTACTGCGTACGTTTATCCTCGACGGTATTGTGATGAATCTCGTCTAGATCATAATTAGGATATAACATCTGAACTAACGACACTGAAACAACAATGACATGCACACAAAATAAGATGACACAGATCATAACATATTAAATTTGAGATACAAAACATGAAAACATCAATTGACATCAGACAACAATAAACAAAGTTCGTCTTCTTTTTTTCTCTTAATAAGAAAATTTCTTCTTACGTTGAAGACAATCAGCATTGAAAAGATCTTTGCATTTTTCATGACATTTCAGTCCACATTCTCGACATTTTAAACCTTGTCTAGCAATACCCCATAGAAGGCCTTCACAATCATAACAATATGTTGGATAAGTAAACGAACAAAATTCAAAATCATGTGGAGTTGTCAATGATATGGGATAAATCAATGCTTGTAAAGTTTTTTTATATACATGTGTACGCTAAAATCAAGTGCTTTTTCAATCAAAAACAAACAAACAAACAAACACCGTTTGTGTATATTTACCAGTTCCTCATCATTAAGATTATGTCTTTCAATTGCGCTTGGAACACCAGCAGATCGTTTACCGAGTGACAAGCCCTAAAGAATTTATCGAAAAGATGTCGATAGTATTGATAAATATTCTTGATAATTACCATATCAAGGCCCAACGGAACTGTTTTTCCTCGTTCAGGAATATCTGGTGCACCAGCAATACAATTGTAAAAGGTATTGTTTGCCTGTTGTTCACCGGATACATTACTAAAATAAATAAGGAAATCAATTCATTCAATGTGCTATTTGATACTCTGTAGGAGAAAATTGTCGTTATCCAATCTCAATTTTTTTTCATAGAAAAATGAGCTCTCCGTATTAGAACGATCGCATTAATATCGAGAAGTAAAGAAAATTCCATTATGTTTACTGACACAGTTCTAATAGGAAATAAGCGAACGTGACTCATTGCCGTTGTTTACTTCGAAGGAAAAATATGAGATTGCATCTCAGAGTTATGCAAAACGAAGAATAGATGCTGATTAATTTTCTTTGAACACTTGGTCATCCAGAAAACGGATACTGATAATGAAAAGTTTTGTTCAACCTACTTTCCATTGCTTGTTCTACCAGTTCCATCATCACTTTCCAGAATCGAATTATTATTGATATTGTTTATTCCAGGTAAAATTCGTTTGGTAATCGGAAATTCATCTGCATCGATTGATGTCGAATTTGTTCTGATTTTTCTCAAAGGATCAATCATTATTCTATGAGGATTCTACAAACGAAATCAATATTTACAGAAAATTTGAAGAAAAAAAACTCGACCTGATCAAAAACAGATTTCAGGTCAATTATATTCTTTGATTCGCTTACATTTTCCTCCTCTGTTAGAGAAATATCATCGAATTCATCATTAAAATCCGTCGAATTGTTTTCTCTGAATCTATTGAATGAAAATATCGACTGAATTGTTTTGTATATGATGCTAGTTGATTTTCCAATGGAGAATTTGATCGCTGCAGAATATTTTCCTCGACGAGTCTAATGGCGGACAACATATGAAATGCATCACATCAATCTTTATTATGACGAGAAATCTTCGCTGCAGAATATTAACTTGTCATCTTCTTTCTCGAAGATATTCTCACTAGACCCTATTAAATTTGGCGTTCTTCAATGCGCCGAAAACTAAGCGTGGTCGGGTGCATGTTGAGATGGATTGGATGTTCCTTTTCAAAATTCTTTCAAGAGTCACTATCGGTCTTTGAAGAATTCCTGGATTTCGAGGGGAACATGAGCTCTGAAATCTACGCTCTAGTATAGCTTTGGAAAGAAAAATTGCCAGAAAGTCAGCAGTATCACCACACAAGAACGCAGCATTGTTCAAGTTAAATGCGGATGATTGACAAAAATCGTTGTAAGAGAAAAACTACATTGACTAAAAAACCATGATTCTAATCATATTACCGCACGGAAAAATAGCGTATGTGCTATAATCCATCTCACGATGCGATCGGCAACGGGATCTCTATCGAATACAAAAATCTTGCTTTTGCTTTAAATATGCGTATCATTTCTTCATTCACCAGTCACAATGAGATATATGCATATGCAAAATAAGAAATGTTGCAAACATTATGGAACGCCTGGTATTAGAACAACACCGGGGTACGTTGCAAATTATTCTGCTATTTTCCACAGAGAAAAATAATATTTTCTGAATCAAAAAGCTTTCAGCGCAATCTCTGCGGGATTAAAATATGAAACATAATGGAGTCATTTTATCCTTGATTGAAAAGACTAGCCACGTCTATCACAGTTCGTGATGGATCCGAAAACTAGGACATCGAGAAACACTCTAGACCATCACAGTGGCAGGCATGTCGCAAAATTCTCGACATCATCACAGACCTTGACAGACATGTCAACACGCTGGTTTCGGATTTTTGGACCACGAAATAAATATTTTAAAATAATTGTTTATTTAATTATTTATTGATTTTAAAATATAAATTCCGTGGTCCAAAAATCCAAAACTATAGCATGTCGACATGTCTGTCACGGTCTGTGGGGCAGGAGGGGGTCCAACTTTCTCGCTATATATCTCAACGCTTATTAACAATCGTGTTTCACAAAATCCAAAAATGTCCTTGACTTGGCCCGATTTGTTTGTCAAAAGTGTAAATTTTGAGAATTTTTTAATCTTTTTTCTCCACTTAAAATAAAAAGAATAGCTCGAAAGATGGGGCGTTCGGCATTAATACTGATCTCAGCTATACTCATGATGATTCGTGTTTCACACTATCCATGTAAATACCGAACGCAGGTCGAATGCGTCTAGATGCGGTTTTTGTTTCAGCCGATCGCGTCTATATGCGAGTTTCTTAAAAATCAGCCAGAAAGCGCGTTCTAAAGCGTTTGAAAATTTAATTCAACGCGTGTGATTGGGTTTCCAAACGCTGTTTGACGCGTCACAAAATCAAACGGGTTCAGATGCGTTCCACAAACGCATCTAAACGCATTCAAATTGCTGAACGCATTTAGAAGTAGCTAGAGTTCTCCTAAGTCAAACAGAACGTTCGTAAACAACCGTAGACGGAGCGATACGACGTATTCAACGGATTAGCATTACGATCGTATGTCTTCGTGCCATATACGGAGAAATACGATCGTTACAGAAAAATAAACGCTCGTTTGCTGTCTCTGTATACGGAGGCCGTATATCAGGGCTGGTCCGAGCGGCGGAGGGGTCGGGGGTATGACTCCCTCCAAAATCTTGGAAAATTTTCGTTTTTCTTCAGCGGAGCTGATCGATTTTCTTCCATTTTTTGCTTACCTATCTCCGCAAAAACAGCCGACCCACCCCAAAAATCATCAACTCTACCTCCGGAGTGGTCTACTCCCCCAATCCTGATGACCTCAGGCCGGTCCTGCCGTATACACTTCGTTTTACTCCGTATTTGTTTTATACGATCGTATTTCTCCGTATACGGCACGAATATATACGATCCCACGTCGATCGTGCCCTTCACTGGATACTGCAGAAACCGACAGGAAAGATGCAGGAAAACCGCCGTATCCGGTAGGAAAGCACCGAAAATCACTGGAACATGAAAGCAGTATTCCGGCCGAAAACTTTCCGGAGTTTTTCCCGATGATTTTCGGCCGGCTCCTGCCGGAAAGAACTGGAATTGGCTGAAATCCAACGGAAAAAAATCCGACAAATTTCCGGCCGGAATACTGCTTCCACGTTCCGTCGTTTTCCGGTGTTTTCCTGCGGGAACCGGCCCGTACTGTTCGACCTGGCACCATAATACTAAACCATGCAAAACCCCAAAACATGAATGTATCTATGCCAAAAAAATACGAAAGTATAGGGTTTCTATATTCTCCGCTCTGGACTAGGGGTGGGAAGTTACCGTTACCGAACCGTTACCGTTACCCCATTACCGGGCAACGGTAACGGCGGTAACTTTTGTGTTACCCAGGTCGATCGTTCCGGCCATCGGACACTACAGGAACTACCAGAAAAAATACGGAAAAATCGCCATATCCTGCAGGAAGCACTGGAAATCACCGGAACATGGAAGCAGTATTCCGGCCGGAAAATTTTCGGATTTTTCCCGGCGATTTTCGGTCGGTTCCTGCCGGAAAGAACAGGAATTGGCTGGAATCTACCGGAAAAAAGTCCAAAACATTTCCTACCGGACTACTGCTTCCATGTTCCGGTGATTTTCGGTGTTTTCCTGCGGGAACCGACCCGTACTTCTCGCCCTAGGTACCAGTCACTTGGTAACTGGTAACGGCTCCGTAACGATCATTTTCCACTCAAACGTTGACGGGTTCCCTTGAGTCCTTAACTCCTACTATAGGGAATACCTTTGGACCCTCAAATCCTACGATGGTGGGGCACCTTTGGGTCCTCAAGTCCTACTATGGGAGAACCCTTGGATCCTCAAGTCCTGCTATAGGGAGGTACCTTGGGTCCTCAAGGCCTACTATACTACTGTCTCAACAAACAAAAGTACGACTTAGAATTTTACTTTTTATAATTTCATGATGATGTGTTGTTTTGTTTTTATATACTCGAGACTGATATGGATTGGTCATATATTTACTATTATAATCCTATAGTGGTCC